CCAAGGGACAACCAACCCGTCTCAAGCTATTCAGAAGGAATGAAAGCATATGCACAAGTCAAAAAAAAAAAAAATAGAACAAAGGCATAATTTCATTCGCAAGCAATAGATTTTGAGACGACACCACAAAACAAAATCATTACAATACAAAAAGGTGTCTCAAATCAGATCCAGCATGCTGAAGGAGGCAAGTTAAGTCTTGACAAGGGCCAGCTCTTTTGCCTGTTCCGCTCGGATCTTCTCCTCCTCTTCCTTCTAAAGCTTGGCCTCAGCAAGAACGGTGACAGCTTCAACATCCACTTCTTCTCGAGCAGAGTCTGGAGAGTTTGCAGTTCCTTTGTAATAACACGGTGAACTCTTACGCTCTCACCTTGGAAGTCCTTTAGAGTCGCCTCACCCTAGGCAGTTCTGATCCCTGTGTGATCAGCAATGTTGTTATTAGCGTCCATCTTAGACTGTAGACGACGTTGCTGCTCGTGTAAATCCACGACGATGACTTCTTGCTCCAATATGCGTCTCGCTCGGACTTTGCGCTCATGCATCCTCTGAATCTGGGCTTCGATTATGAGCGACGTTACCTCATCGCGTGTGTCGGAACATACCAACTCTTCCAAGCGGTACATAACTTTCTTCAAGTGAATGAGTCTTTGCTCACATCGTCTAGCCAGCGGGAGGTCGTCCTCACGCTGAATATCCTTAAAACTATCTGCTACAAAAGGGAGCAAATCATAAAACTTTCCCAACCAGAACAGATGATGGAGGCTGCTTGTTTCATAGTATTCTGTAACCGTTGGATGAGCCCCTGCACGGATCTGAGGTATGGAGAAAAATTCTTGACCTGGGGCCATTACAACAATAGGCTGCACCCTGAGGAGAGGCCCGTCATCATCAACATGTGGCCTCCATCCAGAACCCCCTATGTTGGCCGGTTCAGGAAAGCCAGGCTTACACTTGAGCTGTGGGGAGTATGTCCGAGCGGACACCTGAGTGGGCAACTCCTCATCATCAGATATCACAATAGGCTCAGGCTTCGATCTTGCTGGCCTCCTCTTGCGGATGATCTCTTCATATCGGTCTGCTTCTTCTCTAGAGAGGGGTTTCTTCCCAGAAGATCTTAGAGTGCGAGACACAACAGTTGATACTTCTTCTTGAGCTGTGAAAAATAACGAGAGGAAATTAAAAAAAACTTCAACTCAAGAGATCGAAAATTTTCTAAGACTTGAGAACAGGCGGCCTACAAAGTCCAGGCGAGCCCCATCATGCAGGCGAGTTGACAAAGATCGCCTATCAAACAAACCTTGCCTGACAAGGAAGAAGCTCGCCTGACAAGGTAGGAGCTCGCCTGATAGCTAAGCTCGCCAGAATAGCGGAACCTCGCCTGAGTAGGCGAAGATTGTAAGGAGATGAACGGGAGTCTGTTCATCTCCTCCATTTTCGATCCCACGGTCCTTAATTTACCGTAGCGAGGTTAAGTCACGCTGGAGACGGCCATAGCAGCAACGGACGAAGAAGAGGTTGTCCTCCCCTCGGAAGCAATCTTCTCGAGGGCCATTACAAGCTCGAAGAGAAGAGGAAATGAGGATAAGGATTCGAGTCCTCTTCGAAGGCTTGAGAATTTCGAATGGAACAGTAGACTCCCAACAAGGGAGACGAACGTCTTATATAGGTGAAACCCCGACAGCTGAGATTCGCCATCACAGCAAAAAAAACGAACGGCTTAGATCGCCTGCGACGGTTCAATTCGACAGTTCGAATCGAACGGTGACGATCGCGTTCCAGACAGTGGGACGTTCGGAATCCAGACGAACGGCCGAGATGAGGCGGTTCAGATAGAAAGACCACGATATCTCGTCGAAACGACGATTGAGATCAGAAACGCCACCAAATCCATGGCTCAAATCGAACACGTGAAGACGAGGCATCCCCCATCAGATCACATTCAATGTGAGCTGGCGTGCCTTAGCTGGCAAGCGCAAAAGCCCACATACGGACACATAGCTCGCCTGCACATTTGGAGCTTGCCTGCACCAAAGAGGCTGAACTCAACAAAGGCGTCTGAACTCGCCTGAGCGAGAGAAGCAGTGAGTCTTTTCATTCAAAGTATTTCATACCATATTCAATGTGATTTAGGTCTGAAAACTTTGAAGAGGGTCTTGTAGGCAGTGAAAATTACCTAAATGTCAAAGCCTGCCTGCCAATAGCTTGGGCTTGTTTGCATTCAATGAAGCCCAGCAGAGCCTGCCCGCTCGAGCTCAATCACACCCAATTGTTGAGTTCACCCGCAGAACTCAACCTCTCCTTTATTGAGCTCGCTCGTAGAGCTCAACCTCGTCTGTCTATTGAGCTCACCCGCAGAGCTCAATCGCCCATATTCATTAAGCTCGCCCGTAGAGCTTAATTTCTCCTGTCTATTGAGCTCTCCCGTAGAGCTCAATCGCCCCTGTTCATTGAGCTCGCCCATAGAGCTCAACCTCGCATGTCTATTGAGCTCGCCCGCGGAACTCAATCGCCCCTGTTCATTGAGCTCGCCCGTAAAGCTCAACCTCGCCTGTCTATTGAGTTCGCTGCAGAGCTCGCCCGCAGAGTTCAATCTCCCCTGTTTATGGAGCTCGCTCGTAGAGCTCAATCTCTCATGTTTATTGAGCTCGTCTGCAGAGCTCAAGCATCGCCTGTTAGCTTGACTCGCCCGCATGAATCAAGCTCGCCAAATTATGGGAGCTTGCCAGCACGAGTTTAACCTCGGCTGAATGCTTCGCTCGCCCGCACGAGCCAGACACGCCTGTAGGGAGTTCGCCCGCACGAAGTCCGCTTGCCAATGAACGCCAGTTCACACGTTGGAGGGGCACGCCAGATGACCCCGCCTGTTCGCCAAGTTCGCCTACAAGATCGCCTGAGCATTCATACAACTCTCAAGCTCGCTCGTAGTGTTGCCAGATTCGTCTGAACAATGCAAGCGGGCTGCTTGCTTATGGGAGTGGGCCTACCCACTTCTCACGTCCTGGGTGATGATGAGGCATGGCTCTCATAACCCCTATAGTGGTCACATCCCATAGCTAGGGGAGAACATGATGCTCCTCACCCATTGGTGTTCAAATCCTACAAATCAAGGGATGACCCATGCCATCCCTTGCCTATTTAAAATCTCCTTCAGCCAACGTGAAAGAGGTTGATTGGCTAGGTTTAGCATTTCTATTGGTAAGGCTTTTCAATCAGAGACTTGTTTTGGCTCACTTGCTAGGTAGAACATTCTTAGCTCTTTGCTTGGATTGTTGAGGTAGACTCAATCTAAACTCTCAGATTTGAGATTCATCAACTCTTTGCAAACTCTTGCATTGTAGCTCTCTCCAAGCTCACCGCTTTGATACTTTTCAAGCTCGGGTATAGTCGAACTCAATCACTCCAGAGCCTCTACAGCGCACTGAAACTTCAACCATAACTTCGATCGGATCGTCCAAGAGAAGCAAACTCGGCGCAAGCACCGAGAGAGGCGTTCTACCGCTGCTAATGAACCCATGTTAAACAAGGAAGACCATTCCCTTCTCCTCTGTTGTAAAACATTAATCATTAGTTTGTAAGAAGCCAATCTTATAAATACAAACGACCCCTCGAGCCGAGAAGTCAATTATTTACACCCCAACAGAAAACTATGGAAAGATGGGTCCACCATATATTAATACCAGTTATATGCACTAAATCATGCAAGAAATAAAAAAAAATGTTGAGCCTGTGCTTGATGTAAATGGCTTCCTCAGGTGGATTAGTAATGGAAGCAAAAAGTTAAAGAAAAACGAGAAAAACTCAAAACAGCTGAAGTATCATGTGCTATAGAAAGCAAATCCATGTTGTTCACCAAATATAACGTAATACAAAACCACAGTAAAAACAATTGTTTAACCTACCGGCAGAAACTCAAACCTGAACCTATTAAATGATCATTCTGCGGGAGTATTACCGTCATCTGCTGACTAGATCCACTTTGAGAAACATAAAAGGAAAATAGAAACAGAACCTTGTGATCATCAAACATAACAAATTTAAGTAAAATAGCAAGGTGAAATATGAATCATGTGGCTTAAAGTATCCAAATTAACTTGGGCCTGGGCCTGGACCAAATAAGGATGCTGCAAAGTTGGAAAACAGAAAAGAGGAAAATGATGCAAATAGTCTGGAAGGGAACAAAAGGGATAAAGAACAATTGATATATTCCCCCATTATGAATTCTCATATTCAACCTTTTGACTTCTGTTCAGAAGCAGGGTTAGGAATCAGTAGAAAAAATCACCATAAAACCCATTGCACCAGCAATTTACCAAGAGATACCTAATCATATATATTTGAGTAGAAAAAAAATGTCTCAGGAAAAACATAAGCAGTCAACTCCCAAGAAAATTGGGTAACCAAATAAAATTCAAGAATAAAGAAATATGAAGACATCTGTACCATCCATAAACATAAGCCCTAAACTAATGTCAGAACTTTAGGGAACCCTTTCAAATGGTCAAAGAGATTTTCAACGAATTGTTGGAGACAGTACATAGTACTCAGTAAATGTTAAAAACCTACAATTATCTTAAATTATACTAAGACTTGGCACAAGCAATGCACAAGCACATCAAAGGAATCAGTCGCATGATTAAGTCCATATATGTGTAATGCACAACGCAACAGCTGGACCCAGGCACAGATTATTTGATGCTTGGAGCAGTGCGGACCTTTCTTGGTTTTGAATTCTAAATAATCTAATTCCAATTTTGGTACTGTGCAGTATTAACAACAGCCAACTAGAATACGGGAAATAACAATTAAAATGGGTGCCCCCATCTTGAGCAAGTGAAATAGCATCCATGGGGAAGGTTTTGACATCCAACACCTTTCTAGTTCTAATAGTACATATGTTGTGTTAGCACCCACATGCTAGAAATAGTAGCAGCTGATATGAAAGTAAAGAATAATCATCACAATAGATGCAGCAGAAAACCAGAACCTATAAATTTGGTTACCTGCTTAAGCCTCTTCCTCTTTCTTTCCTCCTGCAATGTGAAATCATTTGAAGCTTAGGTCAGAGGAGCAATCAGATAACTATTTCTTTCAAAACTCAAAATAGACAACTCCAGAAGTAATTTTTTTGGGTAACTATTATGAAACCCCCTTCATGTTTGACAGTTTATTATGAAACCCCCTAACATTATTTTTTTCATTTTAGAAAAACACCATGTTGTTAAAAAGTTGTTAAAATCCATTTATCTTAAAAAATACCCTCTTCTTCTTGCTCTTAACATACTTTCTCTTTCTCCCAAATGCAAGACAAACATTAAAAATTAAAAGTTACATCAAAAAGAGGCTAAAATCAAAGGGTCGAGGAGATATTAAAAATTAAAAGTTACATCAAAGAGAGGCTAAAATCAAAGGGTTGAGGAGATCAACTTTATATTCATTTAGTTTTCTCTTTGTTAATGGCCATAGTTACTTGGGTTTGATGTGAAGAGAGGAAAGATAGGTTTCACAATAGTTTGAGGAAGAAGAGAAGCTTTATTGAGGGGTATTTTAGAGAAAAAGGCAGAAATTAAATAGCTTGTAACAGTTTGTTTAACAGCAGGGGTGCTGTAATGAAAAAAAAAAGGCATTAGTGGGTTCCATAACAAGTTGTCAAACTGGGTTTTCATAACAATTACACAATCTTTTTTCTAAGAAAACATTTGGATTGTAGAATAATGCTCGTGTGCATAGTTTATCTAAATATGTATAAAGCTATGTAGCACGGATACGGGTGAGTGCGGACACGGACATGGATGTGGATACATGACAACAAAACTGTAAAAGTTAGGATACTGTGACACGACTATATACATACATATTAAAATTAATAATCTATATGAGGCCGACATTGTTTTTCATTCACGTATTATGAGAACTAAAAACATTACACCATTTTTATGTTTCTTTTATGAGTAGATCATAAATTGAAAACCCCTCGTTTTTGAACTAGATATCCAAACGACTCTTTAAAAGCATACTTATGAACTAGGTATGTGCTAAAACAAACTACTCTTGTGTACAACGAGTTGCATAAATTTGAGGTGAAGTGTAAAATATACATTCAAGAAGTGTATCACGAGCTTTTTAAACTAAAACATGTGTTACATAAATGTATGTATATATTCAAGAAGTGTTCAAGGAGTATCCAACACGAGCACACATACAGGAAGTGTCGAACACGGGTACGGGAGCCTAGATGAAGTGTCCGTGTAACCTCGGTATGAAGTTTCTTTTATTCAATACAATGATTTCACAAAAATATCACAACGTGACAATTCGTGGCGTATCTTGCTGTTGTTGAAAATTAAAAGGAAATAAAACTCAAAAGATGGGAAGAAGCATCAAGCTTCATTACGAAATTCAAAAAGACCCGCACTTAATACAACATTAAGCCTTTAGGCATAAACATGAAATAGTACACTTTTTAAACAAGGAACTTACCCTCAATCTATCAAATATTGTCCTTCATAAACATCAGAAATTTTGTGGAAACAGACAAAATAGTTACTAGAGTTGTAGACAGTTGCAGGGAGCATAAAAATTGCAAAACATTCAGTAAGATCAAAAGTAACATTTGTTAACACCAAAACTAACAATAAAATCATATTGCAAATTGTCATTACATTCTCCGTGAATTTCTAGCATAAAATGATCAAAATTCAAGCAAAGCCACTACCTGATGTCTCAACAGCCGAGCATTCTCCTCTTCAAGCTGCGTCACTAAAGACTCTAGCTCTGCAGTATAAGCCTGGAAATTAACACACCATCCTTAGTTAGAACCTTAACTAACTTTTGAACCTTCTAGAATAGTACCCCAACTTTCATCATCGCACACGCTTCACATTAATCTTCAGATGTCAATTTGATCATAATCTAATAAGAAATTCAAATATTTTATAAATTATTCACAACAACTTATTCATAAAACATTCGCAATTCATATAAACACTGCTTGAACACTATTGACCCATAATGTTATATTTATCCGCATTCGCTAACAACAACAGGGTAGACACTTGAATGTGCTGAGACTCACCCATAAAGGCTTGTAATGTACAAAAAAAAGGTATCTGTCAGCACAAACAGGTACATCAAGATACAAAAGGGTTGAGAGAACACCCAGATAGAAGATGCCGGAGATATTTTAGAGATACAAGTATGGCAACCTATTCCATACTGGATTCAGATTCCACAAAATGACCCAACTACCCTTCACCCTACTATTCCTCTATTCCCTCTAAGAGGCTCCCATCCAATGAACACTTCGTCTATCCCTCATTCATCTATATGTGTTTCTTTGCTATTTAAGTGTAGCAGTTCACGTTTTTCACTATATTTTAATACAATTATTCTCATGAACCACATTAGTCATAGGCTTGCAGTCCCCGGAAAAAAGGAAATTGTTAGGCGATATGTTCTGGGAATTTAAAAATTACCGTGCAAAATAAGCAAATCATGGTTATCAAGGAGTTAAATCTGTCCATTATTGTTGTGCAATATTAATTATTAGCAAATCGATTAATTAGTTTAAGTAATACCATAACTAACACAATTTTATATGTATGGCAAGCTCTTGCAATCTTATATGTATGGCATGCTCTTATATTCTTATACACTTAACCATTTAAATAAATCACCAATGGAACTAATTACTTTCATAGCTATGTATCTCTCCCTCACCTGCACTTAAATATTGATCTCTCCTTGACTATTCCCGCCCCCCCAAAAAAAAAAAAAAGTTAATATGAAATTAGCACACTCCACACTGCTTCCCCATAAACATACTCAACCCATTACGTCTCTTCTCCTCAATTTAGTTATCCTCTTTCAAAGCTGAATCAACACATAGCAACACCAGCCCCAATTCTTCTCTCCAATCAATTCATACAGGCCATCACATCCTAACGCTTTTCCCCTTCAAATTTCGTAGCAACAACTGCAGGCCAGCAGCTACAATTGTAACATTCAGAGCAGTGGTATCCAGCAGGGCCACCAGAAGCAGTGGTTTCTCAGCCTTGCACAATTCCACTCATAAGTGAGGTGAATATCGGGCATCCCTCATATTTGGGTTTACTTGCTCTTGATAATATCCAATATATGAGACAAAAGTTTTAAAGATTAAACTCATAAATTTGCCAGATAATGATATTAGGTGAGGTTCCAGAATGGTGGAGTTTGTTGTCTTGCTATGTTAGCATTAATGCGTTATTGCATATAATGATGGCAGAATAAGTGACATTACGTGGGTTCATCGATATGGAAGCTTGTGAAAATTGAAATTGGGATGGAAAGTTAGATTCTGATTCATGCTAATCAAATTGAGATTCGTACTTATCTCATGCAACTTATGGCTTGATATCTAAAATAGTCTATTCATTCATTTTTCATAATCACTGTGTGAGATCTTCAAATTCATATATTGACCTATTTTTAAGTTTGTATTAGCCACACTCATTAGAGTATGTAGTGCATGCTAATTGTACCCTTCCAAGAACATCACTACAAGCCTATACTAACTGTACTCACATAACCCAACTAATGTGAGAGACTAGTGGTAGTCACGGCATGGGATTTGATGTCAAATGATTGAAACTAAGTTCCTGGAACTTATTTGGGTCGAATACCTTGCCTCAAAATTAGTATTTATCAGAACAGGTTTGAAATTTTGTCGGAGGCACTTCATCAGATTTTGCCTCATCACTCACCGTATTTGATTTTCCCTCATTACTCACCCTATTATGGCTTTGCCCTTAAGAGTCATAGGGTGAAATTTTGAAGTGATGTATCCATTGGTATAAGCTGGAGGTGGGAGTAGATATATAATACCCGTACGGAATACACTGAACATCGTTATTCTCATCAGAATAAAGCCAAAGTCATATGAATAAAATACTTGATGGTTGATACCAAACATTAGTAGGTGCAAAAGCTAAAAAGTGCGGTTGGGGATGGTTAAGCATATGTGTATGACAGTGAAGGGTAATGGTGTCCATGATACATAGAGAGAGGTGGGAATCTGCGAAGTGTGTATAAATGCACCAATGTAAATGTCAGAGTGATAGTGGAGGAGATGAATCTGAGACGAGGCTAAACTAGACTAGATATATATGACTAAGATGATCGCAAACAGTTGGATAGGTGATTGATATGGATTATCATATGTAGAATTCGGTAAGCATGTGAGTCTAAGTTGCACCGGTATGGGTATGGATGCGGATATGGGACATGATAAATTTGTAAAAGGTAGGAAATAGGGAAACGGCTAAAACCAATGTTTTAAAAAGCTTCTGCCTAGGCCAAGCAGTACATAAGCTGCCTCATAGGTCTTAGGAGCACCTAGGGCATGGACACGGCTTATGCAGACTGCACCGCTTACATATTGGTCATCATTTCCTCCCTTGTTGTCTCTGCATCCTCTAACCTCCTCCAAACTTCTCCATCTACCTCCATCGAGTACGAACACATCCTCTAACCCTTCCGTCTTTAAGCAAAATCTCCTCCGTCACCATTTAAATAAAAAAAATATCCTCGTAGGCTTAATGCCCAAGAGGTGGGCACTAGTTTGGCATCTAAGGATGCCTAGTGCTTTAGATAATAATGATTGTAATTAAAAAATAAAAGATAAGAAAATACCTAGGCCCTATTTAGGCTCCCACCTAGGCACCGGGTTTATAACCTTGGCTGAAACTCATGGGATATAATCATATATTTGAGCAACATATATAAACAATCCTTTGAAATCGTAGTCCTTAAGGCAGAAATGAACTTAACCCTTATCCAACAAGTTATATGTACACACACATATATACATATATCTGTCATTCCCAGGATGAATGATCCAGATAAGCTTCGTCAGAAATATCTGAATGACAGTTACTATCCAACCCTATCATTAAAATCAAGGGCATGGATGAAAACATTGATAATACAAAAGGGAATGAAAATAACTCATTTTTGGAGCATTGAAAATCACAATGTTCCACCAAGTTTTAGTAAGTGCATTATTCAAGAAGTCATACTTTTAAGAAATTGGGCTATTAATCCTAATCAGGAATTACTATTGGTAAAATCCAAGAATACCAAAGAGTTATACTATTTCAACTATTGGGATTATAAGCATGTTTTTTATAATATTTTCTTATATCAAAATCTCAAAAATAAGCACATTTGGCTTATAAAGCTGTGTCCGGAAGCAGTTCGTAAAGGACTTCCTGCTTGGTTTTTCCAATGGTGGGAAACTAATGGTGCTGAATTAAGCATTATTCCAAAACCAATTATGAAGTTATACTCTTCATAGGTAGATTCTCATCCAATTATGTCTAAGATGGATGAAAGTCAAATTATAGATGATCTCTGTCCAATTTACTTCTTTGCAGAAATAGAGATTCCATGGATTTGGACATGGTCCTTTGAATCGGATTTGACTATTTCACATTTGCCGATCTTAAAAAGAAAGTTCTACTGTAGATGGTGGACTGACATTCTAATAGAAGAAAAAGTCAAGCAAGCTGAAGAAATTATTCAAAAGAATACTACTATTCTTGAAAATAATAAGTCAAGAAATCTAGAAAAAAAAACCCATGATTAAAATAGCAAAGATGATTAGAAGGAAATATCCCCAAGATTCTGAATCGAAAATCCAACAGAAATGTTTAGAACATTTAAAGAAGCAATTTTTCGAAGCATTTGACACTAGTGATACTAGAAGTCACAGTTCTACCAGAGAAGATACTCATATTCAAGATACACATGATCCCGATGATATGTGGGATGAAGCAATGAGAATATTATAAGATATTAATATACCAAATATTCAAGGTAAAGTGATTGCTTAATAAGTAGCAGATATTTTGAGTTGAGCCTCGAGGAGCCACTCAAAAGTAACTTTTCTAAAAGCAACTTTATAAAATAAGCTTTCCAAAAAAAGAGATTTCATTACTGTGTACTTTAATAAAGTACCTTTTCAAAAGCAGATGCCAACTTTAATAAAGTAGCTTTGCGGAAAGAAGATGTCACGTCCTCTTCGAAGTTTGCTGAAATTTCTAAAGCATCTTTTGGGACGTTTATAAATAACTAAGGAAGAGAAGGTTTGAGGGCAGAGTCTGGCAGAGAGTTAGAAGAAAAATAAGAATATTGTAAGTGTGTTTGTAAGAAAGTACTTTGTAAAATATAAGTGGATAATAAAGAAGATATTATCTTACAAGTTGGACGATTAAAATTGTAAGTATTTACTTTCTGTATTTAATTTCTGTTTGTTTTTATTTCTGCTTTACTTATGGTATCAGAGCCATGTTAGGCTTATACATGTCTGAGTAATTTAATTCTTACAGTTTATCTATATGAATGTTAGTTAATAAGAATGTAGAATTGATATATGTTCTTTCATTTCTTTGGTTATTAATCTAACATGAAAGTATGTGGGACGTCACCAAAGTCGCGCAGTGTAAAACCCTATTGTTGCCGGGATGGCTTGATTAGGGTAGTGTAAGTCGTTGACAGATGTGCATGCTTTGGGGTTAGATTACAGTTAAAGAAATAAAAGAAAAATATCTATTCTACATCCTTATTAAATAATTTTCAGTAGATAAACTAGTAAGAATCATCATGACAGACATAGTTGAAAGCTCTGTTGGTAAAAAATCCAGTTATGCTGGTAAAAAAGTAAAACATACACAATTAACAGAATATATATCTGATATAGAATCTCTTAATAAATGGTCTATACCCGACGTTCCTAATAAAGGCATC